GTGAGCCACACTCCTACGACGGCGCAGCTAGATCCCAAACCGAGACAGTAGTTATCCGCTCTCCCGTGACTATTGCCCCTATAAGTAAAATTCGATCGTGAATAAGCACTCCACTATGTTAAAGTTGGGTGCTTATTCACGGTAGTATACGGTATTCCTATTAATTAAATAATAGTATATGGAACGTATAGAAAATGAGAACTATACACCTATTTATCGCCGCACTAAGAATAATTCGTGTACTGATAATGTGTCATAACAGATTCGTTAAAACATTATCCAAAGTTCAATGATGTAATGACAGAAAATTTGGGGCAGACATATTGGGCTTATGGCGGGTGCGCGCATCGCAGAATTACAAAATGGATATAATATGGTGTGGAAGTTTAAGCCTGTGATTAAGGATAGCTATTACTATAGACTGAAGGTGGTTCGTTTGCCAACATATTCGTTCAAGTAAATAGCTGACTGTTTTATATTTAGTAAATTTAGTTCTGTAACGAACTGGTCTTAGAAGAATGCTTTAGTTTGTTTGAGTGGGTTTATTACAAAATAGTTGGATATTTTCAAACAATGTCATCTGCCTCAAATTATGTTTAATAACAAATAATCTTTACTTTATCACTAATGAATGGTAGTTCTAGTACTTTGTAAACATTGTTATTCTAAATATGTGCGTTCTGACATTTATGCATATCCAACTTCTTAACTATTTTTTGTAACTTTTAGATACATCTAGTCTAGTCTGATACTACAGAATGTACTCCAAATGATAATACAGATGGCTATTATTAATTTATAGAAAAAAAACAACAACTCATTCAAAATAATGTATACAAAAAATGGAAATATAGACTTGTAAAATATTGTACCAATGAGAAAAGACACATAAAAAGTTAAAACATTCGGTTATGTTAATATAAACACACATATATGATCAATCCTACTTTTATGTATATGAATGAATTACGTGAGCATTTTGGTACTTATTTTGCAATAAAAAAGTACTGTTGTCATTGTGCTGCCAGCTAGTATTTTCAAACTCGAGTTGTTGTAGCTTTGGTAAGTCAGCCTCGAGGATTGATTTTAATCCTCTCTTTAATATCGTACAGTTCTTTATGTAAATTCTTCTCAATTGATAAAATTTAACTTGTTTAGTGTTAGACTCGTCTGAAAGGAGCCTAACGTGTTTCAAAATAATTGATTCCAGAGAATTCGACTGTGGCTCTAGCAATTTAAATATTGTTCTCATCTTGGCAGTCACATTCTCCATAGTAATTGTCTTTAGTTGATGTTGAGACTGAACGAGTTTTTGCAACCCATTATATGATCCTTGTTCAAGATTATATTTGTATTTCGCACTCCTGCAAACTTTAACTGAAATCGATTTCAAATTTTGTGCAGCCGCAGAAAGTGTGCTGAATATATTATTCTCTGCATTCAAGTATAAAACTAAATTTTGTAAATGGGGAAGACTTTTTACAGAAACTAAAAGTTGACTTTGATTAATAAAATACGAGTTTAAGGTGAGAGAAAGAGTGCAGAGATTTGGGCAATATTTAATTGCTAAAAGAATAATTCTGTCTCGCACATAATAGTACTTGGTGGATTGTATCGACAAACTGTAAATCTCCCTAAAATGAATCTCCTTCAGGTAAAGGCTGTAATCAAACGGAAACCTTTTACTGTATCTCTTGTACAACTGTGCTGCGCTCGCGAGAATGTCAACATCAGTAAAACATTCAATAAATGTAGTTAGGAGACTGTCTACTGATCGGCTGGTTTTTCCTTTCGGTCTTGAAAGCAACAAGGTGAATGGTTTGGCCCACAGGTATTGAAGAGCTACCACACACCAATTTCTGTTAACTAAAGTACAAGAGTAGAGAGTAGATAAATCTTTTGCATGCGAAGCCAAAATTATCTCAAGAAGCTCGCTAGGTAAAGAAGTCATGTTTTAACAAGATGGAGTGTATCGGATTAACTATTCGATGCACCGTCAGCCAATGAATTCACTGTATTTGCCTAACAACGGTAATTGGTAATTGACTATGCAATTATTAATCCTGTGTTACATAATAATAGTCAAATCGATAATTCGCAATTCCCGAAACACGATAAATTCGATAAACCGATATTATGAAATTGTACAGATTAATCGTAATCGGCTAATTATTCTCGAAAAAATTGATAGAAAAGGCGATCGGTTTTCCTGTACTAATATCGATATTCATATTAAAGTCAGTAGATCTGAATGCTATGTCAATTTACTAAGCTTTCTATAATATAAATTTTGTTATGTCTCTTGGGAATCTCGTACCTTGAAATTCTTATTTAGATAGGCTACTAACGATGTTACCATAAGTTATAGCTTGCATTGCCAGCGAATGGTCAATAGTGCCTGTCTTTTAATGTTTGTATAAAAAATAAGTGAGTTGAGACGAAGAAGTGTCATTATCAGGCAGAGAAACTAGATAAATGGGTCGTGGCATATGAATCACTTTGCTTTGTAAGTGTACAAATAGATTTAGAATTTATTATAATAATTGTTAAGGTTAATGCTTCCTTATAAAGAGCGAAATAAAAATATTGCTTATGATGCTAAATATTATCAACAATAATAATAAGTGGATTCATTTTGATTGACATCAGTAAAAGTACAAATTTCTAATTCTGACGTAGATACATGGTAATTCAGGCAATGGTTGTGCCGTACGCATTGTATTTAGATTGTGTGTTTGTTTCGAACGTGTTTCCTTTTTTTGCTCTATAGGTCTGTGTACTTGGTAATGACAGTTTTTACCTCATTTCAAAACGCATGTCTGATAAGATTATTGATCTTTTTGATATTTATCCGCTATATTTTGAACGTTTCAAAGGTAGTAAAAAGTTAACAAGAATAGTGTCAGTTTATATTTGCAGTTAGGTCATTTGTTAGCGAAGATAAAGAATATTTGCCACAATATATAAATTTACCATACAGCTTGAAACCCTAACACTATTACATGGTGAAACTTACTTGAATAAAAATAAATACGTATTTTTTAATTCCGGCCAAAAGTAATGGTGGTGGTGGTATTTTTCTCATTTCATCGACGTATTCGCGTGCTTTTTGCACCGCTTCCTCTCGGGCTCTGCATCTGATCCAAATCAGGCCATCAAACCATGCCACTGGATCTACGTGTAGGTATAAATGTCGTTTTCTGAAGACAACACGATTCTGTATTTTTCTCGAATTCCCGGTGACTTTTAATAATAGTCAAGCAGGTATTTCCCAGTTCGGCTATATCTGATGCTGCTTTTCCTAGTTGATTATGATCTCGTGTTTCAAGGTTTACCGAACCGACTTTGATCCTTGGAGTTTTGAATTCGTGCTCAACATCCTCCACTTCAAGTTGACGCCCGCCTTCATCTACGTTTTGGAGTACTTCATATCGTGACATTTGTTATGTTTAGTAGGAAGATGAGGAATCAAGTATCGCGCGGGGAACTTTTATATAAAAGAAAAAGGTAAGCCACACGCCATTATATATTACATATAACGTAATTTACACATGACTCATGGTGAAAACTCCGCAATTGTGCGTCATGCATCTGCACGGACGCTGTTATTATCGGAGAAAATACTTTGTTACATGACCTAATTTGAAGTACAAGACGAGCCGAGATTGCATTAAGTCGAATTGTCCCCACGGTTTTTATGTAATGACACAAACAATTGCTCGATTATTAATAGAACTAATCACGCAACTTTGTTTACCAATCATGAGACCCTTTGTATTGTGACAACAAACTCGATGCTCATCCAATTTAAGAGAATAATTAATACTAAACGTCAGAATACATAAATACTTTAATTATGGGGGTGCGTTTATGTAACAAAATTAAGGTAATCACATTATAATAATTAATAGCTTTAGTTGTAAAACAAACGCGATAGTCTTGACGACGAAAAAACGGGAAACATTTAAATGATATTGATATTAGCATATTAATATCAATATGTATTTAAACAATCTCTATTATTCAATAAAATTAACTAGGTTCTTGTCTAAACGACTTAAATGCTTTAAATTTAAACAAGCGCCTTGCAAGTCAGATCGATCAAGCATATGAACACGACTTGACTGGATGTTATTGTTGTGATAACGAAACTACGTGCATATTAATATTAATATACACCCTTATAATGATACACAAAATTTTTGGGGAGGTGCTTATTTTCGGAGGTAAAACTTTGGGTTGGTGCCTATTTTCGGAGGGTGCTTATTTTCGGAACTATACGGCAATTGCTTTTTTTCCGTTTATAATCAACAATGCATCCTCTTCCATCAGGTTATAGTTCTCGTGCATTCTTCTACAGTCTGGCCATTGAGAAAAATTCTATTGCTATCTCTGACATAGGTTGGGGTAATGGGATGTTGTGTCTGAGTTGAGGACCTGTCTCAGTTCAGAACCCAGTCACTCAGTCCAGAACTCAGTTGTCTCAGTCCAGAACCCAGACACTCAGTCCAGAATTCAGTTGTCTCAGTCCAGAACTGAGACAGGTTACCAACTGAGGTACAACATAACCAATCTTAATTTTATCGGCCTTAAATCTCAAGAAATCTTTTCTAAAACTTTAAATTTGGTTTGAGCCATCATTATTAATTTATTCAAAAATATAATGTATCCAAGAAAAACATGATTACTGGCTATAAAAAAGTTAATCTGTTGATTAGTACAAAGTGTTCTGATAAAAACTTCACCAAATTACCATACTTGCAAAATTTGCAAATAAGTATGCATGATATATTTTTGAATAAAAAGTCTAGATTCTTGAACATTTAATATTGGTGTATCTCCGGTTTACTTGCCCGACAATTAGCTACCAAAAAAGATAACTTCGAAACGAATAATGTTTGTGAATATTTGTCGGGCAAATGAACGCACTCCTATCTCAATTAATATTAATGGTAAATTTAAATCATTATGTCGTCGAAGCGTGTGGAAAAAAGAGAGACTAAACATAATAAAAAGTTGCTCAGTTATGAGTAATTGGAGGCGCTGAGTGTTGTCAATTATCAAATGTGGATATCAAGGTGATTGCGTTGATTACGACACAGATTAGCGACCAGCAACTGTGTACTCGGTGGACGAATTATAGGCAAAGTTGGTCGAAATATCAATTTTTCGTGTCCTTATTTTGGTATCAATGGTGCCCGTGATTCATCAGTTGATTGAAATATGACATTTGGAATGACATCTGCATTGCCCTCACCGCTCTCTCATCACTCACTCTCACCACCGCTGATGACGTTAACTCGGCACTTTTTATTGCTTTCATTGAGAAAAATTGGAACCCCATGGATTGACTCGTCAGACTTGTTGTTTCTAACAAGGGCGGGAAGTGTTAACTTTCAGCAACAAAACAATTCGTTGGAATTGCTATCCAAATTTGAATCGGCAAATTTTAGCTCGCGCAGTTTCCAAAGCAAATCAAGACCAGCGAGTTTTTTTATATTAGACACAGGATATCCCAGTTTATTACAAAATACGATGGAACAAACACATTTGCTTGGATGTACTGACTTTGTCAATGATCTTGTTTATAGTTGATAATATTCTGCATATTATAAAATTGCGGAAATATGTAGCAACACCTCAAACCTTGCATGTCATAATGTCTTCATGTACATTTCAAATTTAAACTTCGAATGATAATGGAACTTTGATATTTTATTTTTATTCTCACTGACTATTCATGTATTAATTACAATCGATCTGGAAGCGTGTCGATATTCAGAATGGTTTTCCACATTTGTCCTAACCGAATTAAAATTAGACTAGACAGAATTATCCTTTTTTGTGACACTAATTTTTTCTTATTATTTATATTACGTCGTTCTCGGTTCTAGCCCTATTCTCAGAAGTCGATCTTCTTTCTAAATTCGGAAATGTAAATGAACCTCTTACAATGTGCCAAGTCTACTAACTCGATTTAGTCATTCATCATTTACAATGGCCTTTTTGAAATTACATTTTTTGGACTCTCTATTTTCGTTTATTATTATTGAACCCTTTATTTCTAATGGACGTCGGCAGTCCCACAATACCGCCCTACACAAACTGGACATTCTCTACAAACTTCCCACTTCCCTACCGCGTACTGTTTGTCTCCGTCTTTGGCCTTTGGGCGTGGGCCACTAATGTTCACTTCCTTTCCTTGTTCTCCATAGATGTACCTACTGTTCTCTCGTTTCACGTAGACAAAACCACCACATCATATAAACCTATATACTCAATCGCGCTTATACTGTCCATATGGATAGCTGGAAATTTTTGGGTGTTTCGAATAGTGACAAATGGAGATGTAGTCGCAGTTGGAGAATGGACGGTGTTGCCGTTGACTTGTTATGCTGTCGTGTTTGGGATGTTGTTATGTCCGTTTAATGTCATTAGACGGAGAGAGAGGTTTAAATTTATGAGGTGTGTGGAGGAGTATAATGAAGGGAGAGGCAGGGTTATAAAAATGTCAATTTGAAAGCCAAGAGTCGTATAGCTTTCTAATACCTAGAAAAGACGAATTCTCTTCTCATTTCATCCACTCTATCAATTCTCATGCTAATCTCATCCCCGCTCATTCTCTTAACATCTATTCAATTCATCTCACACTAACAGATGTCTCCGTCGCGTCCTATTCTCGGGCTTCCAGTCTGAAGTGCATTTCTCCGATACCATACTTGCCGATATTTTGACCTCTTTCGCAAAAGTTCTCGGTGATTTATACGTCTCTGCATGCATTTTACTTTTCATAACGGCCAATGGAGGACAGAACTTTTCGGCTAATCGCTGTTGGAGTTATGTTATTGCGCCTCTGTTTACGAGGTAGGAAAGGAGAGGCAATAAATTGGGGGCTGGAAAACATGCAAGTGTTATAAAGAGACTTTTGCTCGAATCTCTAAATTCACCTTTTATTTGTTGTGTTTTGTTTCTAGTTTGCCCTACTTGGTTCGATTCCGACAATGCATTACTGAATATTGGGCATCCAATGGCACAAAGAAACGACATTTATTTAATGCGCTGAAATACGCTTCGGCATTTCCCGTTATCTTGTTTTCTGCTTTGCAAAAGCACTACGCAACGGCCGAGGAGGGAATGTGGATTGCTGATCATAATATACATACATTGTGGTGAGTACCGCTTTACGCAAGTTCATCAGACCTACCTATGATCGGCTGGAGCATTAAAAATATTTACGCGCATGCGCTTTCTTCTTCTCAGGCTCATCTCTGTAGCGATAAATTCTATGTATTCTTTTTACTGGGACGTGGCTATGGATTGGCAACTTAATTTCTTTACGCCCAGTTCTCCCAAGACCTTTGTTCCCTCTTTCTCTCTCCGCCCAACCCTCACATTCGAACCGCTCTCTTATTATTTTGCCATTCTTCTTGACTTTCTTCTGCGCTTCACATGGTCGCTAAAGATATCATCTCATCTGCATGTCATTGCCGAATTGGAAGCTGGTGTGTTTATGATGGAGGTGCTAGAAGTGGTTAGGCGATGGATGTGGATATTTTTCAGACTAGAGTCTGTTTGGGCTCAGGAAGGCGGAATTTATGGAAAACTTGGAGGGCAGACGGGGAATAAGATCAGTTTGTCTGATCTGGGTGTTGGAAGACGTGAGGAAAACGAGGGAGACAGTTTGAGTGAGGATAGCAAAGTTGAAGACAATGTAATTGATTGGGAAGGAAACTAAGGAGTTTTTGATAATACTAATACATTAGGAGGAGGAAGAACATGGAATCAATAGAAAGGTATAATTATTATAATGTCGGTTATTAATAGCGACTCTGTGAAAGAATTAACTAGCGATTATTTAATTGTGATATAATGTAAAATATAGATTTGATATAGATTACAAGTTTAATCATATTAATTGGAACAAATAATGTCAAAGCGGTAAAGTAATATTAAATACTTTGTATTACAACAAATTAACATCCGAATGAAGAGTTTATTGACGGCGTTTACTAATCGCCGAATGTTGCTTTCTTTTGTAAATCCAAAAGTCGTGAGAGACGCGAGTCTCTTGGAAGACAATCAGAAGGCGATGTTACTATTACTTTAACAGTAATAGTTATAAAGTTCGTATCACATGAATTATTGCACTATTGGTCTGATAATTTATTATCCGATAACAAATAACTAAATTGTACCACAGCATTCTTATCGTCTCACATTTTTCCATTAATCTCATAACCTTATGGTCATTTCTAATATTCTCCCAGCGGGCGCATTGCCCAAATGGCTGCTGTTTGTAGCATCGTTAGCCTTATTTAATACATTTCAGAATTTTTATACCCTTTCTCTTACCAAGCGAGTCTACGATGGTAAGCCCGATGAAGGTATGTGTAAAAGGATATAACAATGTATGAATGAATTTTTATTTAGTTGATTTTCATATGTAGTTACATCGTTGATGGCACGAACTTTTGGGGCCTGGACGTTCTTCGTCTCCATCGTGAGAGCGTATGCAGCGTATAATTTACACAACAAAATGTATGTACAAAAAAAGTTTAGTACTATCGTTTTTCTGATTGACTCGGTTCGATGTTCAACTGTGTAAATTTCTCTTTCTCTTTCAGTGTTTATCAGATTGTTATTTGGACGTATGTGGTTGTGATGCTCCATTACACGTCCGAGCTGTATATTTTTAAAACTGCTAATCACAATCCAGGGTCCCTTAGTCCAGTAACCGTGTCAAGTGAGTCTAATAGTTTCAGTTGTTTCGACTTTTGGACAAAAACTTAACAATTGTTTATTACAATCACAGTTATTTCGTTAGTTTGGTTGTCACTACAGTACAACAACTATGTTTCAAAAGCGAAAGACAAAGAAACAAAAGTCTCCTGAATTGACACTATGAATCTTTGTATTCGATGCAACTCGAACATTAATAAAACCAGATCGTTAGGGCAGAATTGAATCGCTGACCTTAACAGACTTCTATATCACAACCAGTACCAAGTAATGGATTTTTAACAATCTGCGAATGTTGGCACTCGTTAAATACTCGACTCCGGAGCTACCACTTTTTATCAACAATGTAATCAAGTGACATTCCTTGTTCATGATTTTTCTTCTGAACGCCCATACGTCCGAGAGTCACCATGAAAAATAGTTACATCAATTTTTGTATTTACAACAAGGTATACCATGGATAAGAGTAGTCAAGTCGGATGATACAAAACTGCATTACTTGGATACGCAGTTAGAGAAAACAGTATACGCCAATTCACGTATACGTATAATAATTCTTTGTCAGCAGTCAAACCTGTTTAAACCGGTTTCGGTCACTCCCGAATTTTTATTAATTGGATATTTTTGGGGAGGGTGTAGTTGCATAGCAAATGCCGGTTAGAGGCAGTTTTGCCGAGCAGTTCTAATTAATATTAACCAGCTGGAAAGGGATTTTACGGAAATTTCAGAATCACATTTCCCGCATTTCATGTGAAATTGTTAAACTCGTACTAACCGTAACGAGCAAACAAACTACAACTAATTTTTATGTTCCCCAAACTTCAGTTTTGAAGAATTTAACTAATCCAAAAGACTCTATTAATTCTTTTTTGTTTACGCTTTATTCTACGAGTAACATTTATCTTTGGCCAAACTATGTCTGCCGGTTTAAACAAGTTTAATCTGTTTAAAACAAGTAACCAACTCTCTATTCACTACACTTTACTTGAATTCATATCGTATGAGGAAAAATGTTATTAACATAATAATTGATATTTTAACCCGATAAATAACGGGGTCTGCGAAAAGCAGCAATAAAGTATCCAATTTTTATGGCAAACAATGAACGTATGTTTTGGTTGTATTGATTAAATAAAAAATCACCGTACGTACGTACGTACAGTATGTGCTTTTTCTTGTGATGCAAAGAATTGGCGCGGTTTAAAACAATTGAGGCGTACAAATTGCAACTATGCAATTTCGTAGTTGCAGTAAAGATGAGTTGACGAGAAAAGATGATGATTGCGTTATCTCAGAATTATCGAGTACGGTTAGCGGTATACGAATGCTTTAAATCTGTTAGGAAAATTAGTGTGGTGTGAAACTGTTCCGTTTTAGACTCTTTGTTTGGACAATCATAATCTTTATCGGATATTCTCACACTGTATTTATTGTTGATAAGAATGCATACGACAGTCCTTATGTGTCATATTTCATCATCTAACGCGATCATATATAAGTAGCTATACTCTGACAGAGTTCGCTGCTATCTCTTAACAAACTCTCCTCTCTAATGCGCTTAACATATTACGCAACAAGACCTTTTTTTCTTTCAACTTATATGACAGAACGACAAGCTAGTCTAATAATAAAGCTTATGAGAAATAACGAATCCTTGTCATTTATTGTAACTGCGTTGGTCGTCCTATAGTTGTCCAAAAACTACAACCAAAATAAACGTCGAGTTGCGCGAGCGATCTATTTTACCGAAAAATTAGTAATTTATAAATTATGAGAGAAAAAACACAAACAAATAATAACTCATATTAATATTAATATTCACACATATACAGAAAAGGAATAGGGATTTTTTTATACATTGTTCAAGATCCGTGAGAACCCACGCTGCATACAAAGCAGTTGTCTATTAAATGTACGAAGTCTTACGCTGTCTGTTCGAATTTTTACTACTAAAATGATAAAAGTCGGTAGTAGGATGTGGGATTAAGAGTAGCAAGAATGGTAGTTGTAGCAAGGAGGATACAGAAGTAACCTTTCCGGGTTTAAACATTAAATGTCCATTTTTTTATTACACGAAACTTGTTTCAAAAAACTTTCGTTATGACTTGTCCCTTGGCCTTGACAATAGATACAAGTATTGCTCATTCTTTTGACTTAACAAAGCACTCGAATCGTTTAATGCGCAGCACATAGTAGTAGTACCAAATCGTAAAAGCAGGCCGCGTGCACATTTTATAATTTAATGCGTTTGTGGGCGAATGAATATTGAGTAAAGACGTGAATTATTTGACGAATGAGAGAATATTTGACTTTATGAACGCGAGGCTAATACAAAACGTCATTGCGACCAATTCTAGGAACCACATGAAACATTGTCGATCTATATCAATATCAATACCATTCATACACACTGTAATGGTCGGCAAAAGAAGTTAGAATATAATCTAATAACTGGGAAAATGGGACAATAACAAGGTTAGATGCAAGATCACGAGGCATGAACGGAAATTTATAAATAGTGGTGTGACCAGCAAGTACACGATTTTTGATTTTTAAAAATGTCATCTCCGAAAGCACGAATCGATCAGATAACTGACCACTTGACCAATGACAGTCGGCCCAGGCTTGACGGACTAGTTTGCATTATTACAGGAGCCGGATCTGAAATAGGAATCGGGTACGTAAGCGGGAAAATGGTCAAGTCATGCGTTTTACAAAATATACGGATAATTTTAATCAACCTAAACACAACGTAGTCGGGCAACCGCATGGGTATTTGCGAAACATGGTAACGGATCATTGCTAAATTACAAGACTTGATTTTATCTCCTTTTTATCGTCGTCTCCTTTCGATGCCTGCTTCTGACCGTCTCTAACCTTTGATAGGCCCCAAAGCAATCTACGTCACGGATTACCAATACGATCTTCTCCCCTCTCTTGCCAAAGACATTCAAGAAAAATACCCATCCGTTACGGTAATTCCTAAAAAAGTTGACGCGACCAGCGAAGCGGATGTGAGTGGAGTGATCAAAGACGCAATCGATGCATTTGGACGGTTGGATGTTTTCTTTGCCAATGCTGGTGAGAGAAACGTAACGACATTCGAGTTTAAATATTAATTACAAAGGTTTTTACTCTCTGATAAATTGTTATTTGTATCGTAGGATTGGGCAGCGATTCTTCATTCGTTAATGGTGATGCATCTTCTTGTATGAATATCATGAGAGTAAGCATTCATATGTTATGCAATTGAAGCACGATTTTATATACAATGATTATATTCTTCCGATTGCCATGTTTTCGTCACAGGTCAATGCGCTAAGGTAATGTAGAGCAGTCAATTATTTAAGAATCTGCTTGAATTTATTATCTAAATAACCATCTTTGACTTTTAAAATTCGATAAGCGTCTTTCTCGCCATCAAATTCGCGTCTGAAGCGATGAAAATTACTGGTGGCAAAGGTGGCAAAGAAGAAGCTTCTGGATCTATAATTGCTACTGCTTCCGGTCTGTATGCAAGAATTGTTTGGGCTCATTATGTGCTACATATGAACGTTTTTGGTTGTTGTGAATGTGGGTACCCGAATTCGTCCAAGACGGATCGACTGGACCGTTCGACTGTTGGCATGAGAAACCGATTCAGTAACATCAAATATTCATGTATAAGACATTATCGCAGCTTGTTGACCAAGCATGCGTAGAAACATCCGTTACTCAAACCAATGTCTATCCGATGCTTGCAAAAATTGGTGTTTCGGTTACCCCCATACCTGACAATCACACCTCGTGCTCATAATACGGCTTTGGCTAATACCGGTAAACGTTTTCTTCTACTTTAGTGGCCGGAATACGATCCGGTGCTGGCGGTGCTGATTATTCTGCTTCTAAAGCTGCGTAAGTCAATGTTTGTGCTTGATTTTTTAAAGTATACGACGAGGTGAGAGAGATTTAACTCATCCATTCGCATTATAGAGTCGTAAATTTTGTTCAGACCGGTGCGAGTCACTTGACTGGCACAAATATTCGCGTCAATGCTGTTTGCCCTGTACGTATTTTTGTGTTTTGGCATTACACATTACCAATGGTACA